ATACCAACAACACGATGGCGCCCCTTATTCTTCACAATGTTCCCGATGAGGAGCTCTACATTGGAGACGACGGCATCAAACGCCCCTACGCCATGGTTTTCCCACAGTACGTCTCGAACCCAACCGCGCTCGACTGCAAACTCAATGCCACGCGCAATGACATTCCGCTAACACAGACTTTCTTCCCCTAGACAAGAAGGCCTTCCTGGCGCCCGCCGCCGCGGCGTAGCAGAGACGGGGTCCTTTGGTAAATCAACACGCCGCTCGCGCTCGAGGACAGGAACTCCCGCCGGCCGTCGCGAAAACCCAACGGTAGCAGCTGCCGATAAGATCTTTGGCGACTGGATCTCCTCCCAAGCCACAACTTCCAACTCCAACCTGGCGCCCTCATCAACAACGGGCGGCGGCGCGACGAATCCTTCTTCCGCCTCCGGTGCCAACGCCGCCCCCCAGCGCAAGACCTCTGGCCTCTCGCAGCCGCCCCTACTCGCAGCCGACGACGCGCCCGCCGCCGCCGCCGAGCCCCGCGTAACCCGTCACGTCCCAACCGAAGTCGTCCTCCGCGGCTACCGCTCCGCGTCGCAACAGTACGCCGCAATTTCCCACTACGAGCAGCTTGCCGGCCTCATCTGCGAGGACTACCCCCGCGAACCGCCCCTCGAGCAGCGCCGCTACAAGTCAGAGCTCCGCGACCCTGCGTTCACCCGCCGAAGGGCCCTCACGCCCGAGGAGCGCGTAAAGGTCAACCGCGCCGATGGCGGCCAGCACTGGATCAAGGTTACCTTCGAGTCCGCAGACGCCGCCGATGCGGCCGTCTACGCAAGCCCTCAGCGCGTGCTGGGCTACCTCGTCTACGCGGAACCCTACCACGGCCACCAGCCTGCCCGCGACGAGCCCATCCCGGACGTCGACTCTCTCGTGCCGAGCCACGACGACCTGGGTCGTTCACAGTCCGTCCCCGCAGGCAGCTTCGGCACCCACCGGACGCCGCGCAGCAAGCATCGCACCGCATCGTCCAATAAGCCCAGCGGCGGCAACCCCTTTGCCCTCCCCAACGCCCGCTCCATGAGCGACCTCTCCCCGCCCACATCCCTCACCTCCTCCAACACAATCGAGACGGCCACAATCTCCAACGCGACAAACTCGTCCGCGACGGTGACCGCCGACCCCTTTTCGCAGCAACAATCAGCGCTGACCACCGCCACAACCACCACCGAAGACAGCCTCTTCTGCCGACGCATCCCCACCGCGCGCAAGGCTAGGCTCCTACCCGCCGAGCAGGCCCTGCTGCCGCAGCAGAGCTACACCCAGAGGCTCGTCAACATGGTGCCCTTTCTGAAATGGTTCAGCGGTTCCATGATTGGCAACGAGGTGCCGCGCACCGACAACGGCGACTTTGACTGGAACCGCGCCAGCTTGTACTGGAAGGTCATTTGCTGGCTCGACTCCACATTTGGGCTCTTTGGCGGCGAGATTATGAGCGCCGACAAGGACGATTAGGGTGGTAGAATGGTGAATTTGGGGGTCACTGAGTGAAGAATTTTCAACCAAAGGGGGGCTTGTGGGCTTTAACTTGACGGGCGAGATGGACGGCGTTTGGAAAGGGGGCTTGGTAAACGGGCGGGGGTTTAAAAAAAGTTTCATGTTCTATACGAATACCACGCGCATAACTACTTTGTTTATAGTTCATAGATTGGGCGAGCAGAAGCAGCAGGTTTGGTCAGAGACCAAGCACCGAGACAAGAAAGATTTGAGAGGCTCAGGCAAAGAATCATCCTCTGTCCAGATTTAGATATCGTTCCGTTGAGAAATGCGCGCGCAAGGAGACTTTGTCAACCAGAATATGTATAACAGACTATGTAATCTATGCAAAGCGCCACAAGGGGATGGCGAGATAGGAGCATCCCCTCAATCCACCAGGTTAAGTCTGTAGGTTTAGAAAATAAACAACGCCGCCTCTAAATGGGTATAACAAGAATGAATCATGAGTCTTTTTTTTTTCCGCCGCCGTCAAAAACCCGAGCAGAGAAACCACCAAACCTCAAAGGGGAAAGGAAAAAAAAAAAACATCTAGGCGTCGTCTTCATTCACACTCCACCGCCGTCCAGGCCGTCCTCTCTCCCCCGACCCGCTCGCGATTGCCGCCCCGTCTTGCTCGGTGATATCTTCCACGGCCGCAGTGTCTCCAAGCACCGCCGCAGAGTCGCCTTCCTCTCCTTCTTTTTGTTCTCCTCTTTCGGTAGTACTCTTGGAATCAACCGGTTCGTCGCCCCAATTCGGCCTCTCCCCGAAAGTATCGCCCTCATCTTCCTCCTTGAGCACGTCATGCCGCCTCTGTTCCACCTCATCCTCCGGGGTCTTATCATCCTCGCCCCTCGACTCCTCGCTCAAGCCGACCCCCAAGCTATCAAACGTGACGTCGGTAGCGTGCCGCCGGATAGGCTGCGGCGAAAACGGCCTTACGCCCCGGGGTCGGTTGAAGTTTGTCTCGGAAAAGATACTATCCGTATCGTTGTCATCCCCGCCGAAACCAGGCGACGGCCCTCCCGCGGCGGCAGCAAGGCTCTGGTACCGCTCCGGGTCGCTGAGCAAGCTATCGCCCCGCGCGTGGCCCCCTCGCCTCGTCATATCCGACGCCGCGTCCGCGAGGATACTCTTGGGCGGGAGAATGCTAAACAGCTTGGCCGTCTCAGCCGACCCGCCGCCACCGCCTACACCGCCGCCAATAACGCTGCCCAGCCCAGAGTGGTCACCGACCTCGTCGCTGGCAAACAGATCCGCGCCCTTTTCTAACAGCTCGTCCAGCCCTCCACCGCTCCACCCCTTCCGCGCAAGCGACTCAAAGATATCGACCTCGGCGCGCACAAGACTACACGACGACTCGAGGATCCGCCCGCTGGTATCCTGGCTCTCCCGCAGCAGCGTCCGCGCGTGCTCCCCGTGCAGGGACGTCAACCCGTCCAGTCTCGTCGTCAAGTCCACTAGGTGCGCCCTGAACTTGCCCACGTCGCGCCTGCGCTGCTTATGCAGCTTCAGCCCTTCCTTTTCCAGCTTCCTGATCTCGGCGTTGCGGGCCTTGACCTCGCGCACGTAGGCCTCCTCCTCATCGTCAACGCGCTGCCGCCACTGATCTAGCTCGTGGAGCAAGGGGACTTCGAAGTCGCGGTAGACGGTCTCGGAGAGGATCTGCTGGTGGTTCGCGACGAGGTGGTGGACGCCAGAGGCGGAAAGGAGCAGATCGGCGGTGCAGGATCCCTTTGGTCCGCCGGCCGTGAAGCTCGCTGATAACAGGCCTCCGCCGCCGCCGCCTCCTCCGCCTCCCGAGAGGCCATTTATGCCACCCGATAGAGACTCGGCGCGGGCTTCTTTGAGCCTTGCGCAGGATTCGAGTGCGGAGCCGAAGGCGGAGGCGGCGGTGGAGAGGGAGGCGAGTGCGATACGGTAGGCCTTTGCGGACTGTATAAGGTCGGTGTAGGCCGTCTGTGAGGACTCGAGATCGGACTTTGTGAGGACGGCGTGGACGGGTTGCGGCGGTGGCGGGAGGGGCAGGTGGTAGGAGGAGAGGGGGTTCGCGGTCGAGGCGAGGGAGTAGACTGGCGACGCGGGGACCGGCGGGAGTTGTGAGGGCGTTGGGGTTATGGGGCGGGAGTCGCCTAGTGCGCCTTGTGTCGCCATCGTCGGGCTTGAAGCTTTCGGATGCTTCGTGGTGGTCTTCTCCCTTTCGCCGTCTGGGCGCGGTTTCGTTTCTTTTCTTTTTCTTCCTGTTGGTGATAACAACAGCTGCGGGGAGTATGGTATCTTTAGGAGGGGAGGAAGATCTCGGGGCTTCGGGGTTGCTATGTGCCGGGGTGTGCGACTGGACGTGGAGTTGTGGGCTTTGTTTTGTTTATCGTGGTCTGTACAACGCTGGTCCAGACAGTGACATGCTCAAAGGGCCCGGTCAAGATCAAGAATAAAGAAACCTGAGAGCTTGCGATGAGAAGCGCTCCCACCGGGACGATGAAGATAATGAAGAAAAAAAAGAGAAGAAATGGAAAAGTTGTGGTTGGAGATCTTTTTTTCTGGAGAAACGCAAGACGAACGCCGCCGCTGCTGCCCGGGTTGTTGCTGGATGCAGATGCAAGCTGCAGCTTCCCAGGACGGACAGCACAAAGTCACCACCCGTTGGGACCTGGGAGGGTTCCGGCTGGCTCAGGATTGGGGCATCTGGCGCATCTGGCGCATCTAGGCTGGCGTCTTTTGGACGTCCATGGGGGCCCATGGCGCTGGGAGACCTTGTGATTCGGGGGACGATTGAGTGGGGGGAGAGGGGCCCGCAGGTGACCCTGGAAGCTGCCCTGCTTTGCGGCAGGCGGGAGGGAAGACTAAAGAACAGTTGCTGCAGCACCACACACCGCAGTGAAGATTGAAGGTGAGATAAGACGACGGCCCTTGGACGAGACAACACTAAGGTAGCGCAACCAAACGGCGGGTTGACGAGCTTGCCACAACTTGGTTAGCTTACCTAGTCTGACATGGTTAGGTAAGCCAATTAAGTATGCGCATGACTGTGTATGCTGTGTGTTTGGGTGCGTGTGAGGCAAGGACACCCTCTGACTGAGTTGCTCAATGAGAGACATAATCCATGAATTTCATTGAGCGTGATCTCACTCACATCTCTCATAACGGGTCCACGGGGCGATTGGAAACGAAACTACTTCTGATACAAACCATCGAAGATGAGGCCACTTATTCTACATCATCGACTTCGTTCACTCTCACTTTAGAGGATCATGCCCCCATACAATTTTATCGAGTGATTGGCGGACTTAGTGTGGGCTTCTGGCATTTGAGAGAGTATATCATGTAGTAAGACTGCGTCTGTCGAACTTATTTTTAGTCGAATAGACCACCCCTTCACAGGTTCCGGGCTCTATCTTGCCTCCCTATGCCTCATGCCCTTTCTGCATACATAAACACATCTTCCAGCCAACCTTGGAAACACCTCTGCCACCAGCTCCCTACTTCTGCGTAGGCGGGAGTCTCTCCAACAAGAAGGCTTCGACGTCGTCCAACTCTTCAGGGCAAGCGGCGTGACCCATGCCCCTGTGATTGATGTCAGCATTCTTCTCCAAGTTTGATCATCCAGCCCTCGTCCACCAACAAGGGATGAAGAATGGAAGTGAAAGGGTCGTCAGGAATATACTCACGGGTAAAGCGTCCTCGACACCTTATACCCAAGCCCCTTCAACGCATCCATACTCAGCGCCCCCAACTCGGGCCTGACAAGCGGATCCGCGTCCCCGTGGCCCAACCACACAGGCGTCTCCTGGTTCGCCTTCTCGGCCGGCACAAGCCCGGCAAACTTGTTGCTCAGCAGCAGCCAGCACGACAGGCCCACGATGCCGCCGATCCGATGCTTGCCCGTCAACCCCGAAAAGATGGCCATCGCGCCGCCCTGGCTGAAGCCGCCGAGGACGACGCGCTCGGCGGGGATGCCGGCGTCCACCTCGGCCTGGACGAGCTGCTGGAAGTACTCTGACGAGGCGAGGATCCCCCGCTCGTCTTCGGATTCGCGGAGGGCCTCGACTGTGCCATCAAGGACTTTCTGTGGGTGGGGGGCGGTGGTTAGCTTTGGTGATGATGATGATGATGATGATGATGAGAATGATGCTTGTGCCTGTTGTTGGCGGTGGCGGTCGAAGATTGTAGCGCGACTTACAATGTCGAACCAACCCGGCATGCGCATGCCCCAGTTCTATACATGATGTTAGCAATCGGCGACAACTTCCAAGTTTCCGAAGAAGATAATAAATAAATAAATAAAATAAAATAAAAATGAAAATTGAGACAGGGTGTCAACTTACACAGGTAATGGGGATCTGAGGCGCATGAGGCAGTATAAACTTGACCTCATCAAGCCTCTGCCTCCGCCGCCAGTTCTCAACGGCGCTCGCCCATCCATGCCCCGTATCGCCGAGGCCGTGGGCAAAGATGACGGTGGCCGTATGCTTACCCGCGGCCGGGAACACGAGCGGGGCCGTCCGGGCGACGGAGGACGACATGGCTTCGTAGGTGGTAGGGGGTGAGAGGAAGTTGGGACCTTGCGCCTCTGCGATGCCTGCGAGAGACGGTTGATGAGGTGGCAGGGTGTGGAGCTGGTCTGCCTCAGAAAGTGGATCCTGCTGCTCGAGGTGGTGTTTTTCTCGTTGTTGTGGTTCCTGTTGCGGTGTGGCGGCGGTGAAGGGCGCGAGGAGGGTGAGGAGGATGGTTGTTGCGGTCACTCGCGAGACGAGCATTTGCGGATTGTGTCAAGCAAGGGCAGGCAGACAGACGAGAGCTGAGAGACGACGGCGAAAGCTCGGGCGGCGGGCCGAATAAGATGTGGGTTTTTCTGACCCTTTCTCCAGGTCCGATGGCGTATGCGGGGCGCTGATCCGGGCTCGGTACCGTTTTTCAATGCAGCTTGCACTGTCCTATCGGTGCAAACGAACGCTTAATTACTCGTAAGATATACGAAGGTTCAACAAGACTTCACCACCGGTGTGGCTACGTCTCTTGGTGCGCTTGTTGGGAATCGAACCCAACCTCATAGCCTGTCGTGGAGTACTAGAGCTGCGGGTGTATTGATTCTTGACCATTAAGTCAGGCAAGGTACTCAACCACCCAGCCGACCTAGACGGACGCCTTCTGGCTGGTATAAGGAGAAGAGTTGAGGGGCTATAAGAAGTCTCATGCCAGTTTGTATTTTTTTTGTTTGTTTTTTGCGTCTTTGGAATTTCCTTTTTACTTACCTAGTATGGTGATGTAGTGCCAAGTCATGAAAGGATAGCAGCAAGCACCGATCATCTCACTGACGAGCAGGGGGGGGGGGGGTTCGAAACTCACCTGGAGCTTAGACTGCACTACACCTCGAGCTTCACCGTCGGGCCGTTGGATCAGTAGATGGCCCTTACATCGCTCCCTTAACCCCCCTAATCCGTAATTCCGGCCACCCTCCTGTCACCATCTCACGACCACCTCGGTGCATCTTACCTTAGTACGCAGGTGGGTAATTAACAAAATCATTTGCTGCCCAATACGTACTCTGGGTAGATATATTCCTAATATTCCTACTATTAAGCTATTCCTATCATACCCACTATACCTACCTACCTTATTGCTTCCCACTGTTGCTGTGTGCTCCCACTATTCCTATTGTTCCTACTTCCTATTGATCTTGTGGTTCTTATTATTCTTATAACTTCCGTTGTTTCTGCTGTTCCTATTCTTACCCATGATCTTTTATGCATTTCTCAAGAGCATATCCATTGAGTAGAATAGGGTGATAATTAATAACCCTGCGTTGACGCATTCTATTTCATCGCCCACCTGGAACGGCCCTCCCACCCCGCCCGCCCGCTAAGACAGCAGTGGACCCGGCCGCGCGCGACGAAAACAAAACCACCCGCCATCCGGCCCCTCCTCAACCCCCGCGCCGCATCCCTCATCCGGGTCCGTCGGATAGCGCCCAACAACCCTCCGGAGGTTCATATGTGCTTGACTCCCGTCATCCTCCAGGCCGCTCATTCAAACAAACACATCGCACGCGTTTCAAACAACCCAAACCAAACAACCGCGCTTCAAGATGCCTCGTCTAAATCCCCTATTCCTCCTATCCCTCACCGTCGCCCTGACAGCCTACATGCTCTCCCCAACCCTCCGCGCCTTTCTCACATCAGTGACCTCAACTCTCATATCCTCCAAATCCTCTCAAACTCGAGATTCACTAAAGATGAAGAAGCCCCGACAGCCAGTCTACTTCTTCTCCCACGGCGGCGTAAGCAACCCCCTCCCCCCGTCCCTCACTCTCATTCCACCACATCACCTCACCATACAAAACCTTTCACAACCAAACTAACACCACAAAGCCAGACGTAATGTACAACAAGGCCCACCCAGTCTACCCAACCCTCCAACACATCGGCGCCGAAATAACCTCCCTCAACCCATCCGCAATCCTAGTCTTCTCAGCCCACTGGCAATCCCCCTCCCCGACCACAATCTCAATCAACGCCGCACCCGGCCCGGCACCGCTAATCTACGACTTCTCCGGCTTCCCCCTCCACTACTACTCCGCAACCTACCCAAACACCGGTAGCCCCCAGCTCGCATCCCGCGTCTGCTCCCTCCTCGCCGCCTCGTACGGCAGCAACATCTCCTGCGTGCCCACCACAGACCGCGGCCTGGACCACGGCGTGTGGGCAGGCTTCCACGTAGCCTTCAACCCTTCCTCAAACCCCCTCAAGATACCGCTAGTCCAAGCCTCTCTCTTCCGTTCAGAAGACCCGGACGCTCACTACCGCCTCGGCGCCGCCCTCTCCGCCCTCCGCGACGAAGGCGTCGTCATCATCGGCGCGGGCATGTCGGTCCACAACCTCTACCACATGAGCAATGATCCGCGTCCCATGCCGTACGCAGTCAGCTTCGACGACGCGCTCAAAGAGGCCGTTGAGGTCGCCAACGTCGCCGAGAGGCAGGACAAGATGGCCCAGGTCTGCAGACGTCCCGATGCTAAGCAGGCTCATCCGTACATGGATCACCTCATGCCCATTCACGTGGCCGCCGGGGCTGCCGGGGATGACCGCGGGAAGCAGCTGTGGACCATGAAGGAAGGCAGTTTTGCGTGGGCCCAGTATCGTTTTGGAGACGTCCCGAAATTTGTGCTCTGATGCCATCACAAAAGCCCCCTTGCATTCAAACCAAAACCTTGTATTGACATTGAATTTTGTAACAACACATCTATGATACCCGCGAGCCATCGTTAATTATAAAAGTGTCTGACAATAGACTTGCTTTAAGCGTTTTACTGAACAGAATACGTCTCCATTGCGAGGATTTCACGGTGTCTTCTTATACGAACGCCCTATGGACGGATGGCCGACGCCTACTGCTGAGAAAATTCTCCACCAAGTGATGACTGCCAGCTGCTTCCGCCTTCCAGTCGAGGCTCGTGGTATCGGACCTCTCACCGTCGTGCGAGTCGCTAGAGTCTAGCAGCCGACGAACGGATCCCCGCCTCTCCCTAGGAGATCCGCAATCATGGCTGGCTAGCATGGGACCAAATTGTTTCTCGATTGTTAGTCCTGGGCTGGAAGCAGACGATTGAAGCCCTTTTTGTAGTCCGGCGCGTCTGACTAATTTGACCGGAGATCGTGTCTTGGGTTGGAGGGGGCCCTCGAAATTTTGGGCCTTTGGGATGGCGTCCATGCTGCGCACCTTGGAAGCTTGTCTGTCTACGGCTTTGACGGGTAAGTTGCTATGAGAAAGACGAGGCTGGATAAGCGGCATCGAAGGAGTCGTCCTCAAAGAGCTTCTGGGGGGAATTGGTGGAGGATTGTAAATGCCACGAAGACGCCTAGCAACGCGTCCGTCCGTCTTGGGGATTGTGTTCTCGTCTCTGAAAGGTGTTGAGAGCTTTGAATCGTTGATGTCAAGCTCAACGCGGCTGGCAGACGACGCTTGACGTGGGTTGTGGCTCGTCACTCTCAGCGGCGTTTGCAATTTGGCCTTTCCTGTGCCCATAGCTCTGTACAAAGTTGGAGATTCCGGGTCCTCAATCTCTGCGCGCTCACGCACATGACCCAAGCTTTTAGGCATACTTGAATTTGCGTAATGAACTTCCGTCAAGTTCTGGGTTACGGTATTGGCCAACTTGGCGTCGGTATGCGCCGCATTGGCAGAGAGCCAAGTCTTCCACTCCACAGAACTTGTGTTTGAGACCGTTCGGCTCTGTGGCATTGTCGGTGTATAGGTCTGAGGGCCACTTGGTAAGTAGCGTGTTTGGTATGTGTTCATCACAGGAGTAGCGTCAGGACTGTGATCATTCGCAACAGCCTCTGTGTCGTTGGACATAGAGGGTGTCTGTCGATGATCAGAATCGGCGACTTTGTGGTCGGGGTGCCGGGGTGGCACTCTTGGTTCTGTTTGTCCCCCAAAGTCCGGCGGTATTGTCCGTGGTGAGAGGAGGTCGTCAGAGTATATACTTTCAGAGTAAGCAAGTCGGGGATCTTCCTTAGAGAGACTCGGGCGACGCCTTGTGGGTATAAGGCCTAGGTTCAGCATTGAAACCGATGGTGACAGTAAATGATCTGGAGCCGGAGCCTGCGACTCTGATCTGACCTTTTCTTGCAAGGCCTTGCGATATGGACTCGTGGTGCGGAAAAGGTGGCAAGTTGGGCTGCCAAAGAACGCCGAACTGCGAGTGGATAAGGCTCTTGGGGGATTCGCGGTATTATCGCCGTGCAATTTATACGGCTTCGAGGGCGAGTGACCTGGTTCAACCACAGCCACAGGTCTTGAGCAAGGCTTGTAGGACCCTATGGTAGTCTCAGAAGCCGAGCGCTGGCGATGATGCCTTGTACTGTCAGATGAAGATGCTGCTTCATCATGACCCGACTGAGCGGCCTCGGCCTCAACCACTGTTTGCAATCTTTGCTCCCAGGGACTGTCACGGAAGACATCATCCTCTTGCAAGACATATCTTATGGTTGGTGGGTCTTGGCCCGTAGCTTCGTCAAGTTCCTGCCCGCCGAGGGTTGTCGACGAACCAACTTTGCCGTTCCCCTTGAGACCGGTACCCCCAACACTACCATGCCGCAGCTGCTCTTCTCGTTGACCCTTTTGCTTGCATTCATTTAATCGCTTCATGAGAGCAGAGTAGACTCTGGCGCTATCGACGGTTGGGCCGAGGCGGACGGGTCCATCCTGTTGTGGAGATGGTGGTTCGGACTCAAATGGGTTGCGGTCAGCCAGGCTTGGTCGCTGGAAAGAAGAGGAGGACTTATGTGGTCCAATCTCTTTGATGACGGAAAGCCGCTGACGCTCCCGCTCCCCGCCCCAAGTACTTTGACTGTTAAGAGTATGAGTACCCGAGCTCGTCCAACTGGTGACGCGAGACTTCTCATCTGATGCCTTTCTTTCACCTCCAATGCTCTCTATGCTTCCTTGGCGCGAATGGAGCTTTTGAGTTGGGGAAGCATCATGAAGAGACGGAACTCGCGAAGGCACTTGTGAAATCGAACACTCGTCCAGCGACACGGGTTCCACAATGTCCATGTATGCATCATCTTGTTCGTTGTCAACGCCAACAAGGTCTTGGACGACGTTCGAAACCTTTGGGGGAGACTCGCTAGGTGCCACGACCAAATCATCCTTCTTGCTGCGCCGGAACATCTCTTTCAGCTTGCTTTTGAGGCTGCTTGAAACCTTTCGGGCCTTCTTTCGAAGGGAAGCGTCCTTATTGATAACCAATCCATTT